TCAGAGGATTGAAAATGTTCAGGGGAAGTGAACTCTAGCAGACTTTTTTCCCTAGTCATTATTCCCTAGACAATAGAGTATAACAGCTATTTACCCAGTACTGACATTGCGTTAGGTGTTTCTAAGTCATCTAGAGATGATGGAAAACATATGGGCGGATGTGAGTGGGTTCTGTGCCAAAGCTGTGCCCTCTTATGTAAGAGGCTGGAGCATCCAAGAGGATTCTTATCTAGGGGTCTGGAATCTGCCTCCTGCCCATGCCAGGGGCATCTGCATTGGGCAGAAGGAAGGACCAAGGTGATGAGAGAGTGGACCGTGGTGGTTTGTGGCAATGGGTGGCCAGGTAGGGTGGGACGGCGCGGTGATGAACTGTTGCCTGGAAAGAGGAAACCGGCACAAAATACTCCAGAGTTGAGTCAGAAAGGTGGGGAGGCAGCTGGTCCAGCAGTGAGGCCCAAGCTCAGAGGCCAGGAGATGAGATGAATGCAAATATAAGAAACAGGTAGAAAGATCATCAGACTCCAAAAGCATAAAAACAGACCAGTAGCCAAACAAAATAGGTCTCAGAGAAGATGCTGAAGGAGAAAGACATCTGTTTACTCCTTCCCTAAACCCAAAGAGCAAAATCCTAGACACAATGTTCAAGGATTGTGTGGGGACTATGGTCAGCCATGCATTTCCCAATCACTCCAGAAAGGCCCCTTCCTCCAGGAAGCTTTCCTGATTCCACAAGCTCTCTGACATCATCTTCAAACACCCCCAGACTTGTCCTTCATAGACTTCTTGCGACTGTAATCAAACAGGTGTTTATGCAAATCCATTTCTGGGTTGGGGTTGTGGCTCAGAGGTAGAGTACTTGCCCAGTGTGCATACCACCTTGGGTTTTAGCTGGGTGGTAGGGGCCCCTGCTTGTGATCCTAGCAACTTGATAATGCTAAAATCAGGAGGCTCTCAGTTGGAGGCCAGCCTGGGGAGAAGGATTTGTGAGACATACTGGCAACCAAACATTGGGTAGGATGGTGCTTGCCTGTCTTCCTAGCTACACAGGAAACCTAAAACAGGTGGATTGCAGTCTAGGAATAAGCGTACAAGGCATGAATCAAGGCTTTTACCACCAAAGTGACTAGTTTAAAAGAGGACCAGAAGTGTGTCTTGTGGCTCAGCCCTAGAATGCCTGCCTACTAAGCCTGAGATCCTGAGTTCAACTCCTGGTATTACAAAAATAAAAGAAGTTCCTGGGCTCCAGCACCTCCCCCCCAGCAGCCCCCCCCCCCCCCACACACACACAACTTTAAAATCTGCTTCCATAAGCCATCAAGCAATCAGGGCAAAGCCACGGGGAGGAGCCCTGTTACCACAAGGCTATCATTCTCCAGGATTCCACTGGACTCCTCTTGGGGCCCCTCCAGAAGGAGAATTTTGCTACAGATTTCCTTTCTTTTCTAATAAACTTACCCTGTTTACCTTGAAAGAATGAAATCTGCTTTCATTATAAGAAAACAAACAATTTGAAGGTACAGACACTGCCAGATATAAATTTGGGATTCAGTAAGTAAGTATTGAGTGTACGGCGGCTCAATCAACTAAACAAACAAATGAAAACACAATGGATTGAACAACTACATGGTGGACAAGACTGGCACACATCTAGGATGGAGATCAAAGAGCCAGGATTACCAAAGCCATGAGGAAAAGGAAGCAAGGCCAATTCTGCTGGATTTGACACTAACCTAGCTGAGCAGGTAGGCCAATCCCACCACCCAGGAACTTGTAGACTACATTTATCTTTTGCTTCTTTTTCTTTTCTTTTTTTTTCTTGGAGACAGGGACTCTCAAGTAGCCAAGTCTCTCAGCCTCCTGTCTCAGTCTCCTGAGTGCTGGGATTACAGGTGTGCCCCATCTTACCTGACATCTTTTGCATTTTATAATGGTTGAAAACAAAGTTTAAAAAAAATCAAGTGAAGCTGGGCACAGGTAGCTCATGTCTGTAATCCTATCTACTCAGGAGGCTGAAATCTAAGGATCACAGTTCAAAGCCGGAAAGTCCATGAGACGCTTATCTCCAATTAACCACCAGAAAACCAGAAGTGGCACTGTGGCTCAAGTGGTAGAGCACTTGTCTTGAGCTGAAAAGCTCAGGGACAATGCCCAGGCCCAGAGTTCAAGCCCCATGACCAACCAAAAAAATGAAATGACACTTCAAAACACATAAAAATTACTTGAGGGGTAGAGTACACCTACCTAGCAAGCTGGAGCCCTGGGTTCAATTCCCAGTACCACCTCCCTTTCCCCTCAACATTCACATTTCAGCATTCATTGATAAAGTTTTATTGGAACATAGCGACACTCATTGGTTAGTCTGTGGAAGCTCTCTGGCTATGAGAATGACACTGAGCAGTGGTGACAGAGACCCTACATCTTCTAAGCCTAAAGCATGTACTTCCTGGTCCTGTAGAAAAAAGCCTGTAAAACGTGGAGCATCTCTGGGATCATAGGATCTCAAAACCTGTAAGGAAGCTCTGACTTGGTAGGTATATACTAAAGGCAGAGCCCTAGGAAAAAAACTATCAGATGTCATTGGTGCAAAATGTGGCTTAAATATCCATTAATGAACAGATTGCTGGTTAAGTGAATAGTTGTATGTTTATCGCTATTCCATTGCTATTAAGAGGAATAGGTAAAGCCAAGTGCTGGTGGCTCACACCAGTAATCTAGTCCTCTCAGGAGGGCAAACTCTGAGGATTGTGGTTTGAAACCAGCCTGGGCAGGAAAGTCCATGAGACTCTAATCTTCAATTAATCACAGAAAAAGCTGGAGGTAGAGATATGGCTCAAATGGTAGAGTACTAAGCTCAGGGTCAGCCCCCAGGCCTTGAGTTCAATCCCCCAGAACTGGCACAAGACAAAATAAAACAAAACAAAACAAAAACCAGAGGAGTAGGTAAGGCTGAAATGTACAAGGTATTGTTGAAGTAATTTAAAGGAAAATATGGATAGGAGTTTTCACTGTAAAAGAGTAAGTATACCTATGTTTAGAAGTGAAGGAATACAACTATTTGGAAGGTTGTATATGATAAACAGCTCTGGGAATGGGATTTGAATCCCATTTACACTCATTAAATTTTTACCTTGATAGTATATTATTTATCCCTTCTTCCCTTCCCTTCCCTTCCCTTCCCTTCCCTTCCCTTCCCTTCCCTTCCCTTCCCTTCCTTCCTTCCTTCCCTTCCTTCCTTCCTTCCTTCCTTCCTTCCTTCCTTCCTTCCTTCCTTCCTTCCTTCCTTCCTTCCTTCCTTCCTTCTTCTTCTTTTTTTTTTTGGTAGGGGGATGGTACAGGGATTGGGCTTTGGGCTTGGTTGTTCAGTTGTTAGTCTATCATTTGTGCCATGCCTTCAGCCCTGCTTTTTTCTGGTTATATTGGAGATGGAGCCTCCAGGATGTTTTTTGATTGTTTTTTTTTTTCCTCCTTGGCTGGCCTTGAGCCTCCATCCTGTGGATCTCAGCTTTCTGAGTAGCTCAAATTACAGGTGTGATCCACTGATGCCTGGCTATTTCTTTCCTTGTTTCTTTCTTCTTTCTTTCCTTTAATTCTTTCTTTCTTTTAGAAAGGTAGACAAAAATGCTGATTTCAGAAAACTCCTCCCCTCCCTTTCCTCTTTGCAACAGAGTAGCTATTTTGGGGAGAAGAACAGATTCATGTTGCTGATGATGTCAGGATCCTGCATCCAAATTCTGCACAGTACAGATGGGGAACTGCGTTCACACATGATCCTCTGGAAAAAAAAAAAAAAAGCCAAGTCTCCGATAACAGGGCAGAGCCGCATTTGTTTCTTTTGAGGAAGCGTGAGATAAGGACGGTTAGAATTAGGTCTACTTCCTCTTTCCTAGAAGCTGTGCTTGCCTCTTTAACCAGAACACCCCAGTGGATCTATGGCCAGGGGTGTGGAGTAACCAGCCACGCAGAGCGGCAGATGTCAGTTTCTTTGCGTCTCCTCTAACAGCAGCTGCTTCTTTGTCACCAAGAGCCCTTTTCCTAGGGCAGGCTCAAAATCACAAGCCATATTAATGGCACCATAACCCCCCATACATCCCAACCTGCAAGGAGTGAGAGGTGGCCGGGAAGTCAGACAGACATAGATGAGGAATGAGAGACACCAAGGTTGAGCCAACAAGTGGGTTCGGGTACAGTATCATGTTTGGTTTGTGTTGCTTCTCTTGGTCCTCTGGTGATAAAGTCTAAAGTCCTCCTTGGAGAGTCATGTGGCTCCTTCTCCAGGAATCTTTACTGTCCTGCCCATGACCACCTCTTCAGCAGTGTCCTGCTCACCTTGGGGTATACTGTACCTACTGGACCCCCTATCTGGCGTCCGGGAGTGAATAGAAAGACCCAGGAAGTCCACAATAATTAGAGGCATGGAGCCGCATTCCTACTCAGCTCTGAAACACAGGCCAACACTGTGCTAGCTGATGTCATTCATCCTCATGAAGCTCCATCATATCCTCTAGGGCATGCGGAGAAACGTAGTCAGGGAGATGCTTCAGGAAAGAGAAAAAGGTATCACAGTGAAATTAAGGAGACTGTGTACTGCTCAGCCCTCACTGGGAGCTAAAAGATCATTAAAGCACAAGAAAATGTGCTGTAGTGTAAGATAAGCCAGTTCTGAGATCCCCTCAGAAAACCTTTCAGAATCTCTTTTGGAACACACAGCCCCCAGACCTTGCAGTTGGTTTGACAAAGATGCTCAGGGTGCTTGAGGGTCCAGGGATGGTGTGAACCTTGGTGCTCAGCCTTCCTCCTGATCCTCTCCTATCACTACAGACCTAAGTCTGATCCCTACCACATAGCCATGCGGCCCAACCAGAACTCCATCAAAGCTCCAGGGCAAAGATTCCTCAAGAAAATGTCCCTACGCCATGGAGTGGAGGGAGGAGAAGAAAAGCATCCCTTCAGAGAGACAGACACTGAAGACCGGAGCAGGCTGCTCCTCCAGAGAGACTCACCATTGGTGGCCGTGTTGACATAGTAACGTCGGCCCTGAGGAGACAAGTAGCTCTGCCAGCCAGGTGGAAGGATGACGGTCTGGCTCTCCTCTCCCGGTGGAGGGGGTACCATTCCAGGCTTCTGATGGAGAGGAAAGGAAAGGTCACACACATTGGGCATTTTTACAACTGATTTTAAACCAGAAAGTCAGAGACTCATAAAGCCACCCTGTAATTGTTTGATGCTAGGGTATAACATGGCTCATGGACTCCCTGGGGGCGGGTCAAGGTGACCTAGACTCAGAGGTGACACAAACATGCACTATGAGGAACACTTGTTCCTGCATGAGCCCCTCACAGAAGGAACAGCTCCCTAGCGCACAGAGAGAAATGGTAGGCAGAGAACAGAGCTAGGCTTCCTCCACATTGCTGGACTCTGGAAAATCAATCATGGCAGGGTGGGGGACTGTGCTTGCCAGGGGCCCCTGTCACTCCACATACCCCTCTAGGAAATCTGTGGTGGAGAATCCACAGGCCCATGGAGTACAGCAGCAGAAGCCCCAGGCCCGCTGTGCAAAGCGAGCAGAAGTAATTAATGCAAGTCAAGGCAGAGAGAAATGCAAAACATCCATAATCAGGCCTTGGGTCCATGAAAAACTGGGTGAGGGGCAGGGTGTGCGGGATCCATCAAGTGTCCAAACCACTCTAGCAAAGAGAACTAGGGATTCGGCATCAAATTAGACATGGGCTCACTGATATATGCAAATTTTTTTATTTTTACAGGTTGAATCTTTTAGCCATGCATTATTTAATATGATCCTTAAGAAAAAAATCAGAGAAAAAAATCTGCAAGTCAGAAAAATAGATGTAAAATTGATCTGTGTTAAACTGGGCGCCAGTGGCTCACACCTGTAATCCTAGCTACTCAGGAGGATGAGACCTGTGGATCATGGTTCTAATCCAGCCTGGGCAGGAAAGGCTGTGAAACTTTTATTTCCAGTGACGCACCCAAAAGCCAAAAGTAGAGCTGTAGCTCAAGTGGTAGAGGGCGAGCTTTGAGCACAAAAGCTCAGGTACAGCACCCAGGTTCTGAGATCAAGTGCCAGAACCAGTACAACAAAATAAATAAATAAATAAAATAAAAACGGACCTATATGAAAACAGCATCTAGGATTCCTGGATGGGGGAATTAGGGGTGGCTTTTAAGTCTCTTCTTTCTACTTATCTATTCCACCTAAAATTTCTCCAGTAAACATGAAACCAAAAGTTCTTAGCTACAGAACATTTAAAAATAAGGACAGAAGCTTCAAATTAGCCTACATGATTGCTGCGCATTTTGAAGAAATTAAATTGATCCATGTGAGAATTCCAGCCACAGGAGAATGACAGGAATTTCTCAGCAAAGTGGAAGACTGTAAGAAACATGAAAGGTTACCAGTTTCCCCAGCATCCTGGAGCTATGACCAGAGAGATGGGTCACTATGGGTCACTAGTGACCACTGCTTATGGGAGCTGTAGAGGCTTGCTCTGTCTTGCTTTGGGAAGCAAGCAGCACCATGTGTGTCTCTGTCTCATGCGGCGGCCTGCCTATTATCAGGAGGCAAGGAGTAAATCCTAGCTGCTCCAGGGATTTGGAGTAAACACAGCTTCCTGCTAGCCCTTTGTGGAGCTGTGGTACATGTTTCATTGTGAATTTTCACAACTGCGTTCAAAGCTTTCCCCTTTGCCCCAGATGTCTCTGTCTTCTCCATCTGCACCTGCCAACCTGCAGCGCTGCTTTTGATCCCAGGTAAAAGATGGTTTTTGAAATAAGCAAGTGACCTAAGTGCATAGAAGCCAGGCCAAAAGCACTGCAGGATTTTGCCAGGCTGCCTTCTCATCCACAGAAAACATCCCATTAAACACAAGCATACACACTGCCCAGGCTTCCCCTGGACTGGAAGATACCAGAATACAAACAAGACAGAGGCTAATGTTGAGTACAGAGTTGAGGGAGTGAAGTCAGGTGCTAATGGCTCACACTGGCCGTTCTAGCTACTCAGAAGGCTGAAACCTGGAGAATTGCCATTCAAACTGAGCCCTGCAAAAAATATTCAAAACTCCATCTCAAGCTAGCCAGCAAAAAGTAGGACTGGGGGTATGGCTCAAGTGGTAGAGCACCAATCATGGGCAAGAAAGTCAAGAGGATATGAAGCTCTAAGTTTGAACCCTGGTACTGGTGGTGGAGAGGGAGGAATGTAAAGCAAAACAGGGCTGAGTTTGGGGCTCTCAGATGGTAGAGCATTGGCCTAGCAAATGCAAGTTCTTGAGTTCAAGCTCTAATACACACCCTTTCCTCACCAAACAAACAAACAACAACAAAAACACTCATATGGCCAGAAATGGATTTCAGACAGGGGGACCCAAAGGTACAGTGAAAACAGCCCTTCTACCTCAAGGTCAAAACACTTCAAAGACAGTGCTAACTCAACCACAAGGCAAGCACGTGACTGGAGGAGGGGCAGGAAGAAGACTCAGGCAGCCTGGTTATAGGAAATGGGGAAGATGCTGCGCAGATCACTACTAACACACCCAGCACTACATGAAGGAGCCACACATCACCAGGGCTGCTCCATGGATGGGGATCCCCCTGAGTGGGGGCTGAGGGAGATCAGACTTCCCCAGGCTCTCTGCTTCCTATGAGGTGAGGCTCAGACAAGCCCATAGCCCTTCCCTCCACTTCCCCTCCAACTCCTCTTCACACTGAAAATGTCACTAGCAACTGTTGCTTCTCTGTTTCCAAGACTACCCAAGCAACACCTGCAGGGAAAGTGAACACCCTGAAGTGCTGACTGACAGGTTCTGTGGAGAAGGACAGGCAGTGAGGAGTGCCCCTCTATGGGCTGGGAGTGGACAGGGACCTTCAAACCCCTGGGCCCCACTTACAAAGGAACCAAGAGGGGCCTGACTTTCTTCCCAATTGCATAGTGCTATCTCTTTAGAAACACTCTGCCTCCTTTATCTAAATAACCCTGTAAGAATAAATACATTCAAGTAGATATAGATAGCTAGATAATAAATAACCCTGTGAGCTCAGAACAAGCCCCAGTTTCCATAAGAGGACACTTTGTTTTGTTTTTTCTTTCTTTTGTCGGTCGTGGTGCCTGAATTCTGGGCCTGGGCACTGTCCTTCAGCTCTTCAGCTGTAGACTAGCCCTCTACCACTTGAGCCTCAGTCCCACCCCAAGCTTTTTCTGCTTATGTGGTGCTGAGGAATCGAACCCAAGGCCTCATGCATGCAAGGCAAGCACTCTACCACTGAGCCACCTTCCCAGCCCCCATAAGAAGACACTTTGATCAAGGAAGATTTAGTAACTTCTCACTGGTCTTCCTTAGCTACAAAATTTAGGACCTTTCATAGAGGTACTTGAAATACAGGGCCCAGGAATGCTAAGATACACCAAAAAATGGGAAGAAGAAGGCACACCAGGACAACATGGCCTATTTCTTAATTCTGTCACTAGTGAGGACAGACTCCATGTCAGATGAGTCTGCTTCCCTGCCTGCCACCTGACTGCCTCCATCTCCAGTGGCAACTAAAGTTTCTCTCTCTCTCTCTCTCTCTCTCTCTCTCTCTCTCTCTCTCTCTCCCCCTCTCCATCTTTTGGGGAGATGGTGCTGGTCCTGGAACTTGAACTCAGGACCTGGGCTTTTTTGCTCAAGGCTAGCACTCTACTTTTAGAACCATTTTGGTAGTAAGTGTCTCACAGACTTTCCTGCCTGGGTGTTTTGAACTGTGATCCACAGATCTAATCTTCCTGAGTAGTTAGGATTACAAGTGTGAGCCAATGGCACGTGGCATCCTCTTCTCTCTTAGAAAGAGATTCCTTCTGCTAGTTGATCTCAAACAAATCAAGAAGCAAATGCTATGGAGACAAATGGGTAGCACCTCATAAACTGTAAACAAGCATTAAGATAAAATCTAAGCAGGAAACTTGAAACAGGTTCATGGTAACACTATTTATAAGGTCAACAAGTAGAAGTAAGCCAAATTCTAGTCCATGGGTGGATGGATAAATAAAATGTGGTACACACATACAATGGATTGTATTCAGAAATTAAAAGAAATAGAAAAACCAGGTGCCAATGATTAATACTTGTAATACTTAGCTACTCAGAAGGCTGAAATCTGAAGACAAATACATGAAAATCTTGGGTGAAAAAGCTGGAACTAAAGTAAAATGCCTTGAGTTCAAACTCTACTAGTGGCAAAAAGAAAAGAAGGAAGGAAGGAAGGGAGAGAGAAAAAGGAAGAAAGAGAAAGAAAGAGAGAGAGAAAAAAAGGAAGGAAGGAGGAAAGAAAAGAAAGAAGGAAGGAAAGAGAGAAAAGGAAAGGAAAGGAAAAGAAAAAATACAACAGTAATTCATACTATAATATAGATAAGCCATTAACATGGTATACTAAGTAAAAATATGTCAGACAAAAAAAGCCACATGTTGCATCATTGTATGTTTAGAAAACATCCAGAACAGCAAAGCCACAGAGATAGAAATACACTAAGGTTTGCCAAGGGATAAAGGGTACAGGGTTTCCCTCTGGGGATAGAAAAATTCATTGTTGTGGTTATGTAATATTATGAGTATATAAATCATGAAAACTCAACTTTATGTTATCTGTATTTTACAATAAAAACATCTTACTCTTCCAACTTTCTTTCTAATTAGTTTTCTTCCCTCCTTTGGTCCTTCTCTCTTCCAATCTATCAGCTCTTTCTCTAAGGAAGCAAGGGAGCAAGAAACAGGCCATGGGGCTAGGGAAAAAGAACAGGACCAGAGATGGCAGAATACAGTGGCAGGAGCTGGAGGTAGTTTCCTTTAGCTCACATGCTCAGAATCTAATGCCTGAGTGTTTGTTGGAATTATTAAATCCTGTCTGTTCCTCCAGGGGGAGCTATCCATGGACCAGAGCATCAGGATGGGTTTTCAGTCCTTTCCATCTACCCTTATTTGTTGAGTAAACAACTTGCTCAACTACACATGATAATCTATTCTCTAGGAATGTGACAAAACCTACCAAGCTTCTGCCTACTCTCCCAAATGGGTGTAAAGGTTATTCATGTTATAGCACGTTGTACCAACACATCATTTAAAAGATTTTCAGAA